TTTGATTTGAGAAATTCTAGTTGTTCTTGAAAGGCAACGACAATTTCTTGTTCTTCTTGCAAGGATTCCGTTGCACCTGATTTAGTCGCAAGTTCTTTTTGCAAACTTAAAAGTTTTTCATCAAGACTATTAATAGCTTTATGCGTCGGTGTATCTAGAAGTAACATCAAGGAACTTCGTCGTGGAGTTGGAATGTGATGAGACTCTGTTGCCTTGGCTATCTGAGTTTCGAGGTCGTTCATTTTTTCTTCTACCGTTTTGAGCTGTTTCTCTAATGCATCAGATTCTTCAGAAATTGAATTTAATTTGTTTTTTTTCTCTAAAATTGTTTGATATGATTCTCTAACTTCTTGAAGTTCATCTTCAAGTTTTCGAATTGCGTTTTGTTGTTCAATAGATGGGAACAAGAGTGCTGCTATTGTATGACTCTTTGATTCAATTTCTATGTCAAGCTTATTAATTTGCATTCTCATTTCTAACATTTCATCATCAAGTTCTGGCTGTAAATGTGTATCAGCCTCCAGACATGAAATAGCATCAATGACTCTAGCCTTTCTCTTATCCTCGAATGCTTTTATTAAAAGTTCTTCAAGCTCTCTTAACCTAGAGCACGTTGCGTTAAGAGATTCATCGTCCGGATTAGCCGACATCTTTTTGGAATGTTCAGAAATGACATTACTCATTTCGGTTTTTATTTCACTGATCTTTATTTCAATTTCCAAAACTTTATCACTTTTACAACCTCCCTGATTGGTATCTAAAGTGTCCAAAATTCGCTTCTGATCTTCTTTAAGTTGTTCAACTTCTTCTCTCAGCCTATTTACGATTTCCTGTTTGTCAATCTCGCTAGTGACAGCAGAGAGATCACTAGAATCAACATAAATATGATCTGAATTCATAACAGACATAACTTCATTTTGTGCCATTGCATCTCTTCTTTTTATTTCTTCCCTTAGCTCTTCGACAATTTCGAGTGTATTAAGATGATTAATCTCAAGTCGAGCAAATTCTTGTTTTACAGCATCTAGCCCTCGTGCCTTATCAGCATGAAACATTTCTAACTGTCGAAGCTCGGCTTGTAATTTTTGTATTAAAGCCTTGTTTGACAATTCGTCCATTGATTCAGTATATATTGATAATGATTTTCTACGAGAAGTACCGGTACGGTTTCTTGTTTGTTTTTGAAGATCATTTAATTTATCAAGGCAATATTGATATTTTTGCTTGGTATCTAAAAATTCGGACATTGTGCTTTCTTGTATCTGTTGCAACTCATATATTTGTAATTCAAGCTGAGAGGCAGTGTAGTAATCCCCAAGTGGTGTGGAAGTTGATGGTGTTTCGAGATCAGTGAGAGAAGAAAATGTCGACGTGGATTGTTTTCGTTTCAGAGAATGTCTATCAGCTTCTGCTTTAACCCTTTTCATCTGTTCAATTTCTTCAACAAGCTCCTCAGCCTTTTTCTCAAGTTGTGAAATTCTTTCATCTCGATCTTGAATTTCTTCCAAAAAAAGATTAAGGTCATCATCTTCGTTAGCCCTATCTTTTTTATATCGTGTTTCAAGTTTAAGATAAGCATCGCATGCATCATGTAAAGCCTTTTCCAATTTTTGAGCATTTTTATTGATTTTTTGATAATTTAATTCACTTTCTTTCAATTTTAATTCAATATTTTTGACTATTTTTTCCGTGTCGTCTCCCGCTGACTGAACATGAGCTAATCTTTCTTTAAGCTCATTAATTATATCCTGATCTTTTTTTTGTTCACTTTCGTGTGCATTCAGTTTAGCTTCTAGATGGTTAATATATTCCTCAGTTGTTTTTTTCCTTTCCTCACGATTTGAAATGTTATTTTTTAGATCGTCTATTAACCTTGTATCTTGATTATTAAGGTCTTCTGCTTCTAACACTTTCATCTCCTGTTCGCGAACAAGCATTTCAGCATTTCGCACGGCCTCTCGTACGGTAACGAGTTCCTTCTCAAATTCAACAATAGAGTTTTCATATTTTGAGACCATTGATTTTATAGCTTCTTGATCCGGTATTGTATCTTGCCCTTTTGGAGATAAAGGTTTTTCTGTATCATTACAATTTTTATATATGCTAAGAGATGCAGAAGCCTGTTCATATTTCTTAGACATATCCATATACGAATTTTGAAGTTCCATTAATTGATCTTCAAGTATTTGAACATCCTTATTTTCCTCTGAAATTGAATCAG